AATGTATATTATGTCCTTGTTTCTCTCAGCTTAAACTTTGTCACTCGCTGTACAACTCAAGCGGTGAGAGTTTTACCTAATATTTTTCTGTTTTGCCTAATATTTTACAGTTCCAACTAATTTTTTACTGTTCCACCTTAATTCTACAGTTCCACCCTATATTTTACCGTTTCACCTTATATTTTACTGTTTTCCTTGTGTATATGTTAGTTGTATCACCCGAGTAAGGATTTATGTTTTTGACTTCCCTTATAAAAATGTCTCACGTCTGTCCAAATTCACCAACAGCATTAAGTCATTTTGTTGTCGATTTTTTTTCTTGGTGTTTCCCCGTCTTGAGGGACGCGGTCTGAGGATCTCTTTTTAGTCCTCTATTGTTGGCTTATGCTTGTAGTAAAGTCTCTATATAGTGTCATTACAAGAAACACGCACACGCACACGCACACACACCAATAACAATTCGAGTCGGTGACAATCAAGGAACACTCCGCTTTCTACCTGAGTTAATTAACAAGTCCACAACCATCATCATCTTGCTGACGACAGGTAAATGTGTGGACACCTGAGACTAGGGTGGTTGCCAGGGGCTGTATGGAGGTGGTTACGGTACTTGAGGTTTGTTGAGCTATGAGGGTGTGAGGGAAAGGGTGAGGGTTGTGACTGTGTTTGTGAGAAAGTGAAGGTTTTGAGTGTGTTTGTGTGTAGGAGAGAGAGAGAGAGAGAGAGAGAGAGAGAGAGAGAGAGAGAGAGAGTTTGTATGTATATGCGAGAGGAAGAGAATATACTGATATTTATGTGTGCATCTGTGTAGGTGTTTGAGTGTGTGTGTGTGTGTATCTGTATCTGTGTTTGCGTATAGAAATTGGCTTGTGTGTGCTTGCGTGGAGTATTTTATGACATTGTTTGTTTGTCTTGTGCCTGAGTACGTGTGTGTGCTTGTGGGATGGGAAAGTATATTATCAGTGCATGCAGGTGGGAAGGAGGAGTGAGAGAGTGAGAGTCATAGAGGTAGATGAAAGTAAGTGAAAGGGTACAGGAGAAAGTGATTGTATAAATAACAAACGTATAATGAATGTGTGTGTGTGAGTGTGTGTGTGTGTGTGGTTAATGAGCATAAAGTCAATATGTGTGTAAGTGACGTTTTGTATATAGATAAGACGCTGTACTGTAAACGGAACCCTACTCAACATGCTACAGAGGAGGCCTACACAATACACTTCATTACATATTCTTTCCCACCTCGTGTTCTACCATGCCTCTTGTGAATCCATAACAGTGGAGAGAGGAAGGTTGTCTACAGGGTAAGACTCTAAGGTATCGACAGCCAACTATAACTCAATGTGTGAAGGAGAGGAGTCACTTATTGTTTGCTTCTGAAGGTTATGGATCGCACGTTATCTGGCCAGTGTTTACTAGTGAGGTAAAACTTATGTTGTTTGTAGTCCTGTGATGATCATTAAAGTCTTCTAAGATAACTTTATATGTTTTCTAGTTTTGCTTCGACCCATAAATTGCATCACTTACACCTCGACAGCGAAGATTATTTAAGGGTATATATTATTTTATCAACAATAAAAAAAAATATAATAAGGTGGATTTGTCTCTAGTTGAACAAAGTGATATTTAGAATCTTAACACTATACTAATATAACACACACTCTTCCTTAACGCTATGACGAGGTATAAGATGCTGAATATATAATAAATTAGTGTATATTAAGGCGTGTGTTGTGATTAGATATAAGTGAAAGCAATTGAACTTTTATATATGTAGTTTGTATTATTGTTAATGTAAAAGAAATAATGTACGTCTTAAACAGTTTCTCTGGTAGTGTAAGAATACTTGTTTTTATTGGTTATGAGAATGACATTTGTATTTCTACTCTTTGTTCTCATTGGGTGACGCTTTCTCTCATGTGTATGTGTTGGTGTACACAATGTATTCATGACGAGGAAAATATTTCATTTTATTTTAATTATGTTTATGTATTTGAGTGTCAGGATGAGTGTTTGTGTCAGTGTTTGATGAGTTATGTGCTGTACGATGATGATGATGTGGTATTTGTGCTGATCAATCAATTGTTCTTGTGTAAATCTCTGCTTGTGTGTGGACCTGTCTGAATGTGCATAACTGTTTGTATAGTTATATGATGGAAATTAAAATATAGGCCATAAATCCCATTACTTAACACAGGTAAATACTAAATATAGGAATCTTTCGCTGTTCGTAGGTTTTAATCATTGATAATTATCGTATTTACTAATCTGAAAATCGCTCTTAAAGACTCTATTCAATGAAGTTATTGTCTTAACATTAACACATCAGAATTACTAAGTGCTTAAGAAATATGGGAATAAAATGTTTGAAAATGTGACAAAAGACACCCAGATTTAGAGACCTTAATAAATTGGTAAAACTCTCATACATTCACTTGGATTGTTAGCTAAAGAGGAGACAAACTACCACGACTTTTTCTATGGGATTTTTACCTCTGTCCATTTTTTCTGATTTCCCATGATAGAACTTTTCTTTTTTCCAGGTTTTTCCATGACCGTGGGAATACTGTATTTTCTTCTCGCTGTGTGTGGATGAGCGCCTGGGTGTTGGAAGCTACTGTGTGGCTGTGGTCACTATATAGTCTGTTGTTGATGTGTCAGTAGAAGAGTTATTGGGTTGGTTTAAGACTCTATAAAGAGCTTTTGGTTATAGGCATTTCTTTGGAGCAAAAACGATTAGTTCAAGTTTTTTCTCTAAGTATGAAACACTCACATATGTATACAATGAGAGAATAACGTATGTATTCCCGGGTCCTGACTAATACCTCATAGAACGGTTGAACAATTTGACTCGCACATGTAGTCTCGGTAATGCTTCTAGTATAATCCGTCAGGTTGTATTATATTTCGGCCCAAATTGGGAAGATGCTTCATTCTCTCACTGTACAGCCACTTACAAAAATCCTGTCACCTTTCCTGCTGCTTCACGAACCCCGAGATTCAGAATCGTGAACCCGAAGCAATAGACACCGATACATTATTCAGTCCATAAATGCTTCGGATTCATGAGTTTGAATTTCGGGTTTCGTGGTTCAGGAGGAGAGGCGACAGAACTTTGTGTGTGTGTGTGTGTGTGTGTGTGTGTGTGTGTGTGTGTGTGTGTGTGTGTGTATTATCTGTGGTATATCGACTTTTCTTAACCTGACACGAAAAAGTTCCCCATGCTAATTCTACATCTAATAAACAAGAATAATCCTGTAGTCATCATCCTACCTCATGACTTTCACCAATCAACGTCTTGCATCACAACGTTTACGATCCTCAGGAGTAAACACAACATGTTCAAATCATAACTTCTCATATCACCACTTTCTCTGATCCTCTCACGTATGACCATTGATGGGGTGCCAACCGTGCTTGAGGTGCCACGCTCGTTAGCAAGTAACCAACATCACTTGTGTTATGGTGGAGTCACTTGGCACCCACGCTCACGTCTTCACCACTTTCTTTTTGTTACTGTGTTCTCTAAGTTATATCTGGATGACGTTACGTTCATGGTGTGGGTCAAAGGCATCATCATACTTAAGTGGTCAAAGTCATCATACTCAAGGGATCAAGTCATAGTACTCAAGGTGGTTATATGCCATCATACTCAAGGGGGGTCAAAGTCATCATATTCACACGAGTCCAGTTAAGTCCACACGAGTCCAGACAAGTCCAAAATGCACAAAGAACGAACACAATCCTCTACTTATACTGGATTGGAATTCGTGACCATTTGCTTGCGTGACCAACTCAACAACCTAGAACATAATTAAAGATAATCTCACATTTTCTTCATCGCTAACCTGATCGTGACGACCTTAATGGCGTTATTAATCAGAGGGTGGCGTCAGGGTGTCACTTCGCTCCTTGAGTCACCTATTGGGGGGAGGGGGGGATGAGGTGGTACACAGGGAGGACTTTCTATCTCTGTCTGTCTGTTTCTATCTGTCTCTCTCTGTCTGTCTGCTTCTCTCTGTCTGTCTGTCTGCCTGTCTCTCTCTCTCTGCCTCTCTCTCTCTCTCTCTGTCTGTCTCCCTGTCTGTCTGTCTGTCTGTCGATAAGCCTTTCGTGGTCCTATTCAACCATCCATAGTTCCTTCCGGTAGTGTGTGTGTGTCCTTGTTGAAGGCCATCTGGCGGAGTGTGGTCAACACCTGTTAGGCCAGTTAGGGCATATTTATAAAACTACAGGTAACATATTCCAATTTTTCTTTCAGGTAAATTATAGTCAAGATCAGAAAAAAAATCATACTGAGATCACAATACCTAACCTAAACCTAACCTCACCTGACCTGACCTGACCTGACCTGACCTGACCTGACCTGACCTGACCTGACCTGACCTAACCCAGAGCTAAGTAGTGTGTTTTACGGTGTTTAATAATTTTTATTATTTTTTTTATTATTTATTGGGCACCCACCCCCTCTACATCCTTGTGTAAGCTGAAGCACAGAAGCGTTTACAGCGCCCAGCAGGGAAGCAAAGTAGGTACCTGCTGTAAATCGAAAGTTGCGAATTCGTATTCAGGGACAAGTTGCTGGAGCTTCCAATAACTTGCTTAGACATAAACCATTGACTCTTCAGGCTTCTTCGCCCTCGTGTTTAATCATGAGGTGAAATATGTTTTGGGGGTTAATCTTCAGGTGATCCCAAACACTCATCCACACGTGACTTCAACACACTACAGCCAGAGTGTTTGTTTACCTCGAAGGTCCTGACGTGACAGAAAGAAAGAGTGGTTGAAGTGTGTACATTCTCTGTGTGCGTATATATGTGTGTGTATGTTTTTTTACGCGTACCGGGAGAGAGTATGTATACGTGTGCGCGGTTTGAGTGTATGTGCGTGTGTGTGTGTGTGTGTGTGTGTTAACGTGCGCGTGTATTTGTGTGTGAAAGAGAGAGTGTGGAGGCGTGAGACGACGAGAGAGGGGAACTGTCAGTCAGTAGTGGTGTGGCTGCCGTCGGGTACACACGTCCTACTGAGGCTCTTCTCTCGCCCGTGTGCCCCTCGGTCTTTATACATTTTCGTCCACTTTTTTTTCATTCTTCATCTCGTCTAATCTAATTATTTTTTTTTGCTTCATTCACTTTTAGTTCGTGTATTATAATTATATTCGCCAAGAAACCGCAGATGTGTGATATAATTCGAATTAAATGCATATATAACCCGTACCGTTGATCATTTTATGCAATTGTGTTAAACTATCGGGATAAAAGTGAAGGTTGACTGATGTGGAGAATTAACTTCCTTCATTTAACACTCTGATGAAAAATACACGAGGGTTAAAACAGTTCTAAGACCGAAGAAAAACAATAATAAACCCCCCAAACCCCCCACGAAGCTCTGAGGAAATTAAAAAAAAACCCACCAAGATGTTAAACCTCTGATGGGTGTTATTGGTATAATTTAACCAATCACATTCCTTCTCAGACGTTCAACGAGAGGCTGTAGAGTAACAAGAATTCTACTTTGAAACTCAGAGCATTAAGAAGACACATGAGGGCCGACTCTAAAGCCACGAGAGAGAAAGAGACAGAGACAGAGAGAGAACTAGATAGTCAGTCTCCATTAACAACGAGAACAACCACACCAGCAACATTTATCTCTCTGAAGTCTCTCGTGGTCAGTGATCGCTTGAGTGCTACTTATTACCTCTTCACTCGTCGATAGTGATCGCTTCAGTGCCACTTATTGCTTCACACGTCGACAGTAACCACTCAAGTGCCACTTATTACTTCCTCACTCAAGTGTCACTTAATTCCTCCTCACACAGCGTCAGTGATCACTTGACGTGCCACCTGTCAGCTACTCAGGGGTGCCAGGGAGTGGACGCTGACACCATGGACACCAGTGCCTCCCTACAGTGCCTTCTGGTTATCTTTCTCCTGAGCGCCACCACACACGCCCAGAGAGGTAAGTGAGAGACTGTGCTGTGATGGAGAGACTGTGCTGGGAGTGAGAGACTGTGCTGTGAGTGAGAGACTGTGCTGTGAGGGAAAGACTGTGCTGGGAGTGATAGACTGTGCTGTGAGGGAGAGACTGTGCTGTGAGTGAGAGACTGTGCTGTGAGGGAAAGACTGTGCTGGGAGTGATAGACTGTGCTGTGAGGAGAGACTGTGAAGGAGTGAGAGAGGAATCAGGCTGTGATGAGAGACAGTGCTGAGAGGAGAGACTGTGCTGTGAGTGAGAGATCAAAGCAGAGGGGAGACTGTGCTGGGAGGAGAGACTGTGCTGTGAGGGAGAGACTGTGCTGTGAGTGAGAGACTGTGCTGTGAGGGAAAGACTGTGCTGGGAGTGATAGACTGTGCTGTGAGGGAGAGACTGTGCTGGGAGTGAGAGACTGTGCTGTGAGTGAGAGACTGTGCTGTGGGGGAGAGACAGTGCTGAGAGTGAGAGACTGTGCTGTGAGGAAAAGACTGTGCTGGGAGTGATAGACTGTGCTGTGAGGGAGAGACTGTGCTGTGAGGGAGAGACTGTGCTGTGGGGGAGAGACTGTGCTGGGAGAGAGAGACTGTGCTGTGAGGGAAAGACTGTACTTTGGGGGAGAGACTGTGCTGTGAGGGAGAGAAAATGGGAGAAGACCGAGAGACAGTAGGAAGAAGAATGGGAGATATCGTAAATTGAGAGATAGTAAAAAAGTGTGTAACGTTGATTGTGTGTGAGAGAGAGAGTGAGAGAGAGAGAGAGAGAGAGATGAGTACCCATTTATATCTGTCGTGACCTTGTGATGAGATAATCTATACCTATAACAAAATAAACCAGTTACAGGCAGAGTAAACAGGTCACTACACGCTACGCTTAGAGAGAAAAAAACGGAGAAAGTACACGAAGATAGTGACATAATCTTGAAAAAGAGTGAGAAAAAAAAGAGAAATTGATATTAAAATTAGAGAGGAAAAGAACATAGGAGAGAGCTAAGCATTGTTAATGATATAAAAAAATAAAGAAATAATTAAAAAGACAAAGAAACACAGGTAAAGTAGTTGAATCCTTATAGAAACTTAACTAATTAAAACAGACAGGTACACAAGGTAAATTAGTAGGTTTCCAAGTTACAAGAATATACTGAGACAAGAGATGCAGTGCACACAACAGTCACAGTACAACACAGCGCAGCATTCCACCAACAGTGATCGCAAAGATGCATTCAGTCAGTCAGTCAGTCAGCTATGGCAGTGAAAGTGGCGAGGGTCAGAGACAGGTTATGGGTGGGTTGTGGAGGGAGAAACTGGTTGGTAGTAGATGAAGCCTGACACTGGGTCATACGGGGTGAGTGGGGGGGGGGTCAGGGAGCAGGGAGGGGTTGAGAGTAGGGAGGGGGGCTATGGAGTAGGAAGAGGAGGGAGATCTAGGCAGCAGGGAAAGTGGGGACAAGGTAGAAGGGGAGGGAAGGAGGCTAGGCAGTAGGTAGAAGAAGACGTAAGAAGAAAGGAGGGGGAGGGAACCCGGGCAGCAGGGAGAGGGAGAAGACCCGGGCAGCAGGAAGAGGGAGGAGACCCAGGCAGCAGGGAAGAAGCAGGTGTGTGGCTCGCAACTGACACACTGACCTTACACCTCTTGTTCTCTGTATCTAAATTAAGCGTTACATGATGCTCGAATAATGAGTCACTCTCTAAATTCCTGTACTCCTAGACTACAGAGATGATTTCGATATGCAATAATGAGGGATCACCTGAAAATAAGTCCTCCCAGCTTGATTAAATACCCTAGTAATTCCTCGGGGTGTTCGGGTATTAGCGTTAATGGGTTTATTCTTAAGGTAGAATAATCTAGGGAGGGTAATCTTCAGGTGATGCAATAATGATGTGATTTACCATTCGTCTGTACAGCTGGCGCCTTACAGATGGGAGGAATTGCTAGAGTGTTGTAGAGTAACTAGATCGGTGGGTAAAAAAAGTGTATATATCCCTGAGATAGTGACCCTTAGAGACCATGATCACTGTTCCGGTATAATTCACCAGCTAATTGGACAATAGGTATTAATTATCACCCTGACGTACTACAGAGCCACATTTGTTACCTGTCCACTCGCTCTACCAGCACACCTGACACTTTTGGGCCAGGAAATTTTGTAGAAACATGCAAGAGACAGGAAGAAGCGAAGGTGATATGAAGAGAGAAAGTAAAGAAGAAAATAGTCGATGGGAAGATTATTGTTTAAGTATAAGTGTGATGGTGTAAGTGAGGGTGTAACACAGTACACCTCCTGTGGCGTGGATTAACAGTAAGTCACCTCGCACTTTAAGATAATATGCTGAATGTGTGAACAAAAGCTCTGCGGTTTACTGACTATGTGTGATAAAGATTGGCGTATATTGACCAAATGCTGTGAATGAGTATGGTGGGTTGGGAGATGGTGAGTATGGTGGGTTGGGGGGTGGTGAGTATGGTGGGTTGGGAGGTGGTGAGTATGGTGGGTTGGGAGGTGGTGAGTATGGTGGGTTGAGGTGGTGAGTATGGTGGGTTGTTGGTGAGTGGGTAGTGCATGGTGGGGGTGGAGTATGGTGGGTGTATGGTGGGGTAGTGAGTATGGTGGGGGTGTGGTGAATATAGTTGGGTGGGGGTGATGCTGGTGGAAGCGGAGGAGAGGGGGTGATGATGGGTCTCTTACACCAAACATCTCAAGGGTCCAAAACATTTACAATCGTTTGGACTGTAGTAGTAATAATATATGATCTCTGACGTGTTGTCCTGCCAGTGTACTGTATAATCACACCTGGTGGCATAACACCTTCAACTTATGGCTGTGGGGGGATTTTAAACCTTGTCTTACGAATGCTGAACCTCTTAATACCTATACCCTCACCGAGATAAATTTGATCCCTAAAAAAAAAAACTCGTTAAATAAAAACAAAACAAAATAATTCTACTAAACCTAAGGAAATTTTAACACTTCGACAAGAAAACTTTAATCATCGTTCCAAACAAACTTTAAACCAAGCTGAAGAAAGCATTGAACCCTTCCACAATAAATTCTCGAACTTTTAGGTGAGAGTACCTTAAAACACCTCTGCCTCCAAAACTTAAACCTTTACCTTAAAAACACCTTAAATTGTCACCTTGAAAAAAAATAATATACTTATCCCTTTTCTAGCATAACTGTGAACCTTCCTTAACAAAGCCTTGACCCCTTCACATAAAATCCTTGACCCCTTCACATAAAAGCCTTAACCCCTTCACATGAAAGCCTTGACCCCTTCACATAAAATCCTTGACCCCTTCACATAAAAGCCTTGACCCCTTCACATGAAATCCTTGACCCCTTCACATGAAATCCTTGACCCCTTCACATGAAATCCTTGACCCCTTCACATGAAAGCCTTGACCCCTTCACATGAAAGCCTTGACCCCTTCACATAAAATCCTTGACCCCTTCACATAAAATCCTTGACCCCTTCACATGAAATCCTTGACCTCGTTAACCAGAGCATGACTGTCACGACCAACACCTCTTCCTCCTCCCTCACCACCCACTCAACTCACGCCCCGTGGGAGTCGAGAACCAGTGGACCATATCAACTGGTGACTGCGCTAAGTTGAACACCGTGTGATCAACTGAGCTGCCTATATGTTGCACACGAGAGAGAGAGAGAGAGAAGAGGGGTAGAACGATAGGATAAAAGACATTCACAAACCAAGATCATCAACTACAGATTAAGTCTATGTGTCATCCTGAGTTCCATAACCCCTTGAGTACGATGCCTTTCTCCTGAGTACTATCAACCCGACCATTGAGGAAAGATATTTAAACTCCTGAGTACGACGACATAACCACCTTGATTGCATACAATATTTAATCCCTTATGTACGAATTATTATCCCTTTGAATGCCTTGGCTAATCCTCCTTGAGTACAGTAACCTTGTACTCACTAGATAGTCATCGTACTCAAGGGGTTAAGAGTAATAAATTAGGTAAGAGGAGGTGGCGATCATTAATTGTGTTTGTGAATTTTTTTTTATTTCTCTGTTGTGGTAGTCACTGGAAGACTTCATTCAGATGTAGATGTGAAATTAACCCAAGCGTAGTGATGTCTCTGTTCTAACACCCAGGTAGAGTAAATTATACGTTCTAACACACAGGTAGAGTAAATTATAAGTTCTAACACCCAGGTAGAGTAAATTATACGTTCTAACACACAGGTAGAGTAAATTATAAGTTCTAACACCCAGATAGAGTAAATTATAAGTTCTAACACTCAGGTAGAGTAAATTATAAGTTCTAACACCCAGGTAGAGTAAATTATACGTTCTAATACCCAGGTAGAGTAAATTATACGTTCTAACACCAATTTTAGTGATAATCTTACTATTTTTCCTTTTGATATAATCTATTTACAAATCATCTCAAGTCTTTTCATACAATAACATCAACACTTTCGTCACGTTTTGCTCAGAGGCAATTACCGGGAAATCTTACAGTGCTCTCAGATCATAATAAACACGTCAAACATTGGCTTTTATAGTAAGTGGAGCGTATTGTAGTGTGGCGGAAATTACGCCGCCTCTTGAAGGTGTCGGGAATAGAAGTGTCAATCAATTCAGAAGTCTTTGTTGGAGTTAGCATGAAGATTAGGAACACCTCCCCATGCTTGTTTTACCTGGCTTTAGACTCCCTAAAACTATAACCTAACCTAACCTAACCTAACCTAACCTAATCAATAAAAAGATCTTGATAGTTAAGGTCAAAAGCTTATTAGTTTTTCTTTATTATAGTAAGTAATTAGATCTTCCTTTATACTATAGACTGTAATATATTTAATCTATTTAACTGAATTTGAGGTTTATTGGATTGTATTTCCCTTAGTGAATCATAACATATCTACGATTGTCTTAAATAATTTTGGGAATGGTATTTACAAAACTAACTACAATTATTATATTTATTTATTTATTATTATTTTTTTTGGCTCTT